GTTTGTATAGAGGTGTGGGGAAAATGATATCCAGTGCCAGACCTGTATATGTATATCCATATGGGCTTTATTCTGCCCTTTTCCATAATGTCAAACACGCATGTAAATACAGAAACAGTCATTCATATAATATTACATTGACAAGCAAGTCAGTTATTTTTTAATTTTTTTAAATTGCAACATGTTTGCAATCATAACAAGACGAGGGCAGCAATGGGTAGATCGCCCTCTCCCCTTCCTGTAGCTGGGGATAGATACAGCTACATTAGGACCCTTTCACTCTTTATACTGTGCAATAAAAGCCAGCCAGAAAAGTATAATCAACAAGCGCGTACGTGTGGTGTTTCTGCGTGTCAGTCAGTACAAACCAGTCAATACACCCAGGGCCCTGCTAAAAAAGATGCGTGCACGTTTGTTGTTGTGTATGGGAGAGAAAAGTGTGTGCGCACGTGTTTGCGTTGAGAGCTGGGGGTTGGTTAGAGGAGTCTGGGTTAATCTGTGACCGCTTGTCTGTGCCGATGATAGTATTGATCTGATGAAGATCATCTGAAGGTCAGGATATGTTGTCTTTGTTCAGGGGGCGCCTTGATCGTGAGGCGCTGGCTGTCTTTTCGCTGTCTGTATAACTGCTTATAATACTTCATTTTTTAGTAGACATTTTTTAAATACAAAGTGAAAAGTGAAGAAAAATAAATCTCCAGCTTTGGGCCAATACTAGTATGAGATTAAGTGGAAAACGTGCTTGTATCGGTGTTTTGACAGCATTATTATGATCAGTAGGTTACACAGACTGAAAAGCAAATATTGTTATGTTGGCATTTTGTGATTGACACTTCTACTACCTTCCCTTTCTGTGGGTCATTATCATCATTTCAGAATGATGAAACAGAAACTAGGCTTGTTAGTACTTAATTATTCATTTGAATCCATAAAGGCAATCAATTAAGCTTAAGTGTGCAATAAATCTGATTAACCAGTCAGTTCCCAAAACACCATAAAATCCATGCAGGTCTTATATGCTGGTAATGAGTTTGCAAGAAGGGAGGGGGAAGGGGCTAATAAGTGAGAGTGCTCACCCACAAACACACACACACACAAACCTTGGTGCGCAAAACACAATTGTGCTTGATGCTTTTTTTTTTTCGGGTGATAATTTGATGTATTAGCTTTTGGGGATGAAAGATAAGCAGGGCTTAATGTATGCTAATATTAAGGTCTGCAGCTTGTAACAAAATAAAGCAAGGTCATCAGAAAACGGCGCATGTGTAATTAATAGATGAATTCATTACAAAAACAATGACTCAGTTTAGAAACACTCATTAACAAGATAAGGCATTTGAAATGGAAATACAAATGTTAACGGTAATGTGTTGACAATCAGAGCGGCTAAATTCAACCTTGAAACGTTTTTAATGCAGTCCGTGCCCATTCGATTGGGCGAATGTGCTGCCCTCTTTTCTGCCACTGCTGTATCATTCCTTATTATTCTCTGACATACTTGCTTGCTGATGCTCTCCCTCCCTCCCTTTTATCCCAGCCTTCATCTATCCTTCTCTCCCTCCCTCCCTCTTTTGCTGGCCTTTACCTGCTCGCTTGTCTCGGGGGAAATTACCACAGCTCAGAAACGCTGTCCTACTGCCTGCACTGCAACGCTCTGCTCTGCTGTGCTCTGCCTCCCTCCCTCCACGCATACAGCACACATATGGACACATGCAAATGCATACACACACACGTGCACCGCAGACACACAGTCAAATACAGGCGTGCACTTAAAAGCACCAGCACATACACACAAAGACTGCATAACCCCTTTCCCACCCCAAGCATAAACCCTTTACCAGATGCTGCTTTCTGTTTATTCTTGCTATTATGCTACCCAAAGCAGTACACGGGTACAGAGCAGTACAGAGGATTAGAGACACTTGCTGCCAGTGCTTAGACTGAATTTGTGTGTCTTCATGAACTTCATACATGCTGTATGTGGCTACAGCTAAAAAGAGCACGACTTTTGTACATCAGACCTCTTCTTACACTAATTCGCTCTTTAGTCTTAATGAAAGTTAATGAAAAGGATCCCTCCTCCTCTTCTCCTGCACTAGCATGCCTTTAGCTACTAGCAGTCTTCCTTATCTCCCAATGCAATGCTGCAGACCTTGGAGATGAGCAATGAGCAACTCAGCAGGGTTTTCCCACTCTGTGCGTGTATTTAATGGATAGGCACTTCAATCAGCACTGCTAATCAGAGTGAGAAAAGCTTCCCATGAATGTTTCAGTTCAACCACAAAGCAACCCACTTGCAAATTTCGCCTTGAAATGGCAGAACTGGAGGAGTCACTGTGCAACATTCTTCTTTTATGGGCAGTTAGGAGATGGTCTCTTCCTGTCAGAATTATCATCATGACGGCCCTTTTGCATATGTCAAGTCATGCCTTTGGAAATGTCACTTTGAGAGAAGCGACAGTAGCTCGCTGTCTGCATTTTGATTACTCACATACATAGAGTCCAGACTGATGCAGAGGATTGTGTATTCATAATCAATACCAAAATACTGACATCACCAAGTCATCAGTTACCCCACATCATACACCAAACTGTAAATCTCTTTTTCTGCATTATGTAGTGAGTGAGGTTTTAACACCGAGACCTGCTTTTGGACTTGGTAAATCCTCAGATCATGTTTAGCTAATTCCACAAAATGAAAGCTCTTGGTAGTACCTTTGAAGAGGTGCTTTGTATTTTTGAGTAAGGCAAAGAAACATAGACTGTAAGTGCTATGAATTCATTTAATGATCCCATAAATCTACCTGATCTTTCATAAACTAGATTTTGATCTCAGAAGGAAAAATACAGTTCGGGATTCTGGTTATGTAATTTGTCTGATGCGCCTGCGTTTTAATAATGTGTGTGTGCGCATATTAAAGTCTCAAGTCTCAAGTAGGAGATACTTTGTCTCGATAAGACGTAGCCAGAGAGCACGTGCATTAAATTTGCATGTCGCCTTGTAACATACAAGTGTGTATGCGTGCTTGTGACGTGAGTAAGTGTGCGCGGTAAGCATAGGAATTTGTGGTTTGGTGCATACACATGCATACTTGGGTGAATATGCACGCGTGTGTGTGTGTGTGTGTGCGCGTGTGGCAGACTCTGGCAGCAGGCTTGAAATTAAAACCTTATGCGGAACAGAGCTCGTGATTGAACTGGAATTAAAACAAAAGGCAGAAGAGCACGGAGTAAAAAAAAAAAAAGAAACGGGGAGAGGAGAAGGAGATGGCGAGAGCAGCAGGAGGAGGAGAGGTGTATTGTCTAAGAAGAGAAGAAGTGAGCGATTGCCACCACTGCAGTACTACAGCTCGTCTGGGTTGTTTCTTATCAGAATGTCAGGCAGACCTTTCCCATTGACTCGCTTCTGTCAGCAGTCTTCTTAAATGTGAAAGCAATTAGGGAAATTGGCGAAGTCAAAGAAACATCTCAAAGACACCTAAAAGAATAGCTGTGATGAGTTGGAGAGCGCATGTGGAACAGGGAGGGATGAGCGCACACTCACATAAAATACATGTGAATGTCTGCACTCAAGGAGAGACACACTCCCTGTCTTTTTTTTTCTTAATGCACATACACCTGAGTAGCTCTTGCCTTTGATGGCTGAGATCGTGTCGAACCACAGTTTTCGTCTCAAGTCTGACCTGTCCTTTGTGCTGCATGCATTTCTGTGTCTCTTTGATATCTCCTAAGTAATGCACTTTAGTTTTCTTGACCTAATAAATCACTGAATTGACGCTTCAAGTAAGCGTATTATATTAATTCAGGGACAAAATGATTACTAGGAACACAGCTTATTCAAATGGCACACATTACAAGCGAATTCCTGCATTTTCCCTTTTAATAGCCTGCACTACACTTGCCTTAAGGCGTTTCTGAAGGCATTCCCCTCTGCTCTCACCTCTCTTAACCCCTGAGCATGGAGCATCTGCTTTCTCCATTCAGTTGGAGCTTGCTGATTTAATAGCTCTGGGCATATTGCCTTGAAAAGGAGGAAGAAAAAAAACTTTTGGCCAGGGCCCCTGGCTTTCTCATTAGTAGTCTCTCCCTGCGATGTATAGGAGCATTCTCACTGGTCAGCCCTCCTCTTTGTGGAACACAGTCTTGACCTGTTCCCACCACACATTGTGTGTGTGTGTGTGTGTGTGTGTGTGTGTGTGTGTGTGTGTGTGTGTGTGTGTGTGTGTGTGTGTAAAAAAAAAGCGGTCATTTCCATGAGAAAGGAGTGCAGAGAATGGACAGGGGCTGCGTTTTCTTTCTGTGAGATGGCTGCAGACGCGACTGAGGGTGCACAAGGGCGACCTCATCCATCATGTTGTGAATAGCCTAAAATTATCACCCAGTGTTTCTGGACATCATGTGATGAAGAGATTCTTGACAAAGGTCATCTTGGGTAAGAGCAACCCGGGGCTGGCTCTCTGACCCCAGTTTTTGGGGGGTTTATTTTCACTTGCTTAAATAAAGTTCACAGTGTAACTGCCAGTTGCTTAAGGAATTTATACACATTTACCATTTTAGTTATGCATCACATAATGTATTGTACTAGATAAAATATGAAATCTTATGTAAAATATGTGGCCCTTTAAACAAAAACTATAGGTTAAAAGGAGGCTAAAATGATTACACATGGTTACTAACAAAAGTAGGTTTGCAACTATAAACATTGTCTTTGCTATTATATTGAGTAATTTGATCCATTCTTAAAATTAACTGATTGGAGCAACTTTAAGACTTAAATAGCTAATCTGCTGGGTATATAATTCAAAATGCCTATACTTTCTTCATGTATGTTCTTTCCACAGCATGACATGTCTCACATTTGTTTCTTTTTTAAGCACACAGTGCTTGCTGCACGCTTCAGCAATTACCCTGGACATATGAGCTGGCTGCCTCTGTCCCTTTTTTGTTTTGTTTTTTTCCTGGTTGTCCGTCGCATGGTTGTATTAAAAAGGTCCATCCTCGGTGGCCAGTCGGGAGGTTTGAAGACCGGAGGAAGGCGGGGCGAGTGGGCGGGGTTAGTGTTTTGGTTGGTCGGGAGTGACGTATCCGGAGCGACTTCCTGGTCTGTCTGCTCCCTGGGAGGAGGAGACGGAGACTGCAGTGTTGTTAGTTTGAACAAAATGGCTGCGAGACCACTGTCAAGGAGAGCTCACTGAACGCCTACCATGAGTGTCCGCTCCGCCGTCTGGATCAACACAGAATGTATTTCCCCGGAGTCGCTACTCATTTTGCATTTGCGGTAGCCAGTCCGTCGCTAGTCGTCCAACCGACGACTTAAACAACAACAACAACAACAAAAATCTTTTGCACTTTAAAACAAGTTGGGTGGCTGGCTGACGGCCGTCGGCTTGCTCCGCGAGAAGTCATCGGCGATTTTTTTTTTAACGAAAACTGCCTGATTTCTCTGGTTTGCAAAACCTTGCAACGGTCGACGACTTACGACGCCAACCAGCTAACGTTAGCTTACATAATTTAGCTGCTTTTAAAAGTCATTTTAATCGTGTTCGTATTTTTTTTGTTTTTGTTATTAGTGGTGCTTCGTCCGCTTCCCCGCCCCCTCCCCCCGTTAAATCGTGACGTTTTAACAAATTGTTTTTTGGTAAAAATAATTTCACAGCGTATGTGTTTTGGGTTTTATTTTTTAATCTTTTTTTCTTCTTGCTCAAAGCATAAATTACCGTACTTGCTGTGTATATATCTGGCTGAGTAGCCGTTGTTTACCTCGGTATCTTGTCACCAAGCTGCTACAGCAGCAGTCGGCTTATCTACCAAGTCTGACTTTAATTACGACTAAATCTCTGCTCCATCTCTTTACGGGTAACTTTAGAAAAGACATCGGAGAATGCTTTTATGCATTTCCCCCCCCTGCCATGCATCGACTCTTAACTGAAAGCTGCCAAAGCTGTGATTAAAGCAAGGTAAGTTTATACATTTAATTTATTTATATATATTTTTAGATTCTTGGCAAACTGATGAATAATGTTAATCAACGTTTGGCAATCAAAAATTGTAGCGGCAGCCGAAAAATGAAAATCGCCGTGTTCCTCTATAATTAAGCTAAAGTATATCACTCAGCTCTAGTCTCATTGACGTACAGACTAAGCCCGGTTAACAACAGCGGTAATGCCCCGGCAAACGCTCAAGTACTACATCATTAAAACATCCATTAACAGTTTACTAAGCGTGTTTGTTTTGCCCAGATTTCTGCTCACATTGTTTATGCAGGGCATTCTTCGGCAAAGGAAAACACTGATTGAGCCGAGGTATTCTTCCATGTGCCTTTAGACACGGGTTTGATGACTAATTTTAGTGTATTTATTTGAAGAGTCTTGAATATGTTGGGAACTTTTGTGTTATATCATAGCCCTTTTATGATTGGCTGAGTGCGCTGGAGCACACTATGTACATGTGAGTGTGTAATGCGATGGTTTCTTGGAGCCACTGGGAGAATTGCTTTGCCTTTTCCAATGTCTGTGTGGTTATTAGAAGGTAATGGGGCGCTAATTTTATAGTTATAGTTTGATTGCAGATAGCACAGAGTTGCATTAGGGCTGTAACACCTTTTATATTTTCGTTAAGTGTTTTAATTCGTGCCTATCCGATGTAGTTACACTTTTCTTAAATGTGGCAAAGGCACAGTCCCATTTGTTCCCAATTTTCGCTACGCTTCGGTCTGTGGTTCAACTGTATCACATTATGTATCTTGTACACCATTGTACATTCCACTACACTAATTCTTAGTACATTATTAAACATAGCTGTCCTGTCTCTCTTCCCTCCTTTCCTCCACACCCCTCCTTCCCAACTCGGATTGAACTGTCGCTTTCCATTGCTTCCCCCCCTCGTGCATCCTGTCCCCAGGCGCTGGAGTATAGCTTTTAATATCTCCACCGCGTGTCTTAATTGAAGTACATAATTTCCTGTTCAATTTCAAACCCCCTTTTCCTCCACCCCTCCTCTGACATCTCTGTCACCACTGTCTTATCTCTACCGTCACACATCAGTGAGGTGATGAAATGAAAAATGTGCCCAAGCTGTAGTGGCACACCGTACATTTGCAGTCAGATGGGGATGGTTTATTTTTGTGTATGATGGATATATGCACTGTCTGTGAATGTAAATATTTTTGTGGCATATTCAGCCAGTGTCTGCACATGTGCAATGCCTTTCATTTTTTTTGACCATGGGACTGTGTGACTATTTATGTCTAGCTCAATACCTTTGCCATTAAGTAATGCCCTCCAGTTGTTAATCAGGACTTGAGTGCACCCTAGACGGCCAGCTGACAGACGGGCACAAACACACAGCCCTTTTTTGCCCAGAGCTAAGGGTCCTTCAAGGCTGATGAGCATGCAGTAAGGGGATAGCTCTGAAAAGATGTTTTGGGGGGTGTCCAAAATGAGTGGAGAGAATAGGATGCTCTTCACCGTGGAACAAAAAGGAGGAGGGAGTTTAGTTTTTGTTAAATACCATGCAATTACCTTTACCATTACCAGACACAACTGTAACTAGCACTTAAACCACAGCAAGTGGTTTAAGGCACTAGGGTAAATTTTGGGATTGCACATGGACCTTAGATCACCATTGAGGGGGTCACTCCTTAGGCAGTGCATGTTATGCTGCAATGAAGGTGCAGGTTTTCTGCCAGAAGCAGTCAGGAGCAGTGTGGAGTATCTGGGGGTGTAGCACTGATTTTTGCATGCCACTGTCCACTGTACTGTGATACTGAGGGAGCAGTGCAGTAGTCTCTGTGTACATGCAACTCTAGCAACTGTTGCTAATGAAAGCAGACAGAGAGAGACACTCTGGGGAGTTTATTCCCTACTTCCAGCACGAAGAGAAAGTACTATACCAACAGTATCGAAACATGTATCGAAATACGCTTAATGTCATTCACCTGCAGCAGTAAATTGGGTAGTCTGCCCTGCTGGAATTAGTCAACATAAGCAAAACATTATAAGTTGAACTGCCGATGGGAAAACAGTGTTAAAGATTTGCTTGGTTCCTTTTTACTTTTAACTTTAAAAAAAAAAAACAACTTCAATTCATTTGAACTGTATTTATGTGTGGAAAGTGGTTAGCCCACTGTCACTGTTAATGTAACAGTTGTAGTATAAAAATAACCTAAATGTATTAAATATGCAGAAAGTGTGGCATAAATATTGGTATATGTCCTATTGTCATTAAAACATTTCTGAATTAAATTAGCTCGGTCTTGTGACGTTTACCTTAGTCCCAAAATGCAAAAGGATTCAAAATGAGAAATTTCATCTCACAGAGGCTCAGACTCAATGAATTGTATTACTTCTTTTGCTTTTTTGGCAGCATTGCAGGCAGGAAACACATTACCCATGTTGGCTCTGGATCTAACCAGGCTTTAGGCTGTTGGCATCTAGACACTGTTTTGATTAGAGTGTATTGTAACAATGCCGGGAGGGCAAATCTTGGCAGTAACTCCATCTGCAGCCCCTTATCACTAAAGGGGCAGGATCATTTATTTGAAAGGAAACCCAAGTTGCTTATCCTTAGTTGACCCTTTGCAGACAAAACATGAACACCAGTGTAAGTTACTATCATTAGCCTTGTTTCCACTGCAGGGCCAAGTGTAAATATACTGTATCCACCATGCATTTTTCTGTACAGTGGTAAAATAGTTTATTTTCCTTGTCAGATATTTTGTTGTGGCCCTGGTGAAGCCCCCTGTAGTTGGACTTGTGTGTTGCTTCTGTTGTCAGTCCTCTCCCCCTGTCATTGACCCTATCCCAGGCTTTAGTGTGGTAGTTACTGAGCCTGTGATTATGAGGCTTTTCAAACAACTGGCACAGTCGCGATAGATAACGCGCTTAACACCGCCGCAGGGTGCTCCTCAAGTAAGGGTACATTGACAGTAGAATCAGCTGGATTGAATAGGGGGCTGCCAAAAGCCATTAACCTCTTCCTCTGCTCACTGTATTGCTATTTTAATGTCAAGGGGGGCAGGATCTAGATTTACCAAGCAATGGTGTTTGGTTTAGCCATTGTACCAAATGAGTAGTGTTTATGTGGGCACACCCCTAAGGGGGGAGTGTGTCTGTACTTTGTGTTTGCAGTTGTAATAACAGAGCACCAGAAAGTCATAAATGGTTACAGTGTCCTTCGATGGATGTAAACTAGAAAACAAAGCTTTTTAGGTTACATCCATCCATCGTGTAGACCAGGCTTTACTGTTGTTTTGGTATAAGATGGTGATCTCATGTTATGATAGATGTGATCTCCACGTCTTACACTCTCATACCCATATCTGGCATTTCTTGTGAATTTGCAAAAATTGAAGATGCACTCTAAATAGGCATGGATGAAATTAGTTTAAGTTGTGAGTAAAAGGTGGCAGTTTAAGGAATCTTCTTGTGATTAGTAGCCACACATACAAACTAAAGGGAGGTGGATGTGTAATTGTCCTCCTTATCTAACTTCTGTGCCAATTGAGGGGGCAGGGGCTTTAGGGGCCCACCAAGGGTAAGCTAGGACTGGGTGGAAGCAGGGGGATGGGGGAAGCGAAGCTGAAACCCATCGAGCTGCTGCCTGAGAGTCTTGGCAGGGATCCAGGGGAATGTTCAATGTGCCGAGGTTTGGTTGAGGCCCCGGTCCCTCCCTCTACTTCATGTTAGCTAATTGGAGAGACGTGGACAGAAGGAGATTGGCATCAGATAGAAACTGACAGAGAATATGCAGGACAAGCAACCATATAATATTCCCATTTCCTGCTCAAAATCAACAGACATCCTTACTCATTATGTAACAGGACTTGGTCCCTACAGCACTAACAAAGCTTTCAGTTATGGCAGTGTAAATCGCACTAGCATGCACTAGCTCTCCCTTCACTGGGGTCATGGCTTTGGTTGATAATCCACGTCAATTCTTACCCCTGAACACAAACTTGAATACAATCAATGAACTTTATCCGTCTGCTTTTACTTTTATTGATGTATGGATGTAAAGTGGTTTTCACAGCTCAATTTGCACTTCAATACATGACAAATTATAACAATAGGAAATAAAAATAAATCATGTTTGTTGGTGGCAAATCAGGTCACCTTACAACACAAAAACAACAAGAACAGTATTAAAAGGTAGGAAGAATAAAAACATATAAAACAAGATAATAGCTGATATGCAAATTAGCATAGTACAGTAGGCACAAACCATTGAAGGCAGCAGGAATGTCATTTTGCAAGTATTTTTCATATTTAAATATCTTTATTAGTAGTTTTCTCAGTTTTTTCTCAACCAATAGCTGCAAGACATTTCTGAGGATTGTTATTGGCCACATAGACCTAGGGTGGGTATTTATTCTTATTAGATCAGTTAAGCCAATTTTTACTTTAAATTAAAAAAAAAAGGTCTAATGTTTCATTTCACTTTGATAGATGTAGGCTTTTTTTGTGTCAGAATATCTGTATCTCATCTGCTGTCCAAACAGAAGGAGCTGTTGTGGCTTTTTCTGCCATTCTTTTCCTCTAGGCATTGTTCCTGCATCTCTTTGCAGGCTTGCTTCTCACTTTCAGAGACTGACTGATTGCTTATACTGCTGGCAGTCAGTAAATTGTTGATGGGACATTGTGTATGCCCATGTGCTTAAATATCAATCTTTTCTGAGTAGAACTTTGTCTTTTCAGCCTTGGGTGTGTGATCATTTGGTGGAAAGTAGGGAAATTTTGGTTAGTCCTCACTTCCTGATATACCTTCAAAGGACTCTTTGATGGTTAAGTCTCAGTTTATGACTCAGGTTAGAATAACATTTAGGTGTGGGTAAGGTAGCCAGATGTACTAGCTGACAGAGACAAGTGCCACTGGCAATGGTCGAATTGCTGGTACGCCGACAGTGCAGTCAAGCTATAGAAAGCACTCAAAAATAAACACATACACCAACACATTCAGC